CAATTCCTCTCTCTTCTTGCGCTTTACGGCTGAAACGGAAAAACAAAATTTCTCCATCTTTTCCATTTGTTTTTTTTATCATCCATGGCTTCTTCTTCTCAAAGTACTACGTTCCCCTCTTCCACTACCACAATACCCATAAGTTCTCATCCTTCAAACTCCCAAGATTTGAATGTTCACGCTTCCAATAACCACATTTTTCGACCAGCAGCAGTAAATGGAGGTTTCCGGCCATTTATCGCTAATCCGACAGTGCCACAAGCCACGATACACAACCAATATGATGGGTCATTGGTCCGGGCTCAAAACCCACCTACTTTTGGACCGTTTCCGCAGCGTTTTGACCCTCTTCCGGCCAGTTTTCAGCAGCAATTAGGGAATAATTTTTCTGGTATGTATCCTTTGTTCCCTCCTACTTTTCCCGCATATAGTTCGCAGTCGTCCAATTACCCAACTTTCCCGATAGGTATTCCGCCTATTTACCCTCAAAATCAGTTTTTTACCCCTCAAAACCATGTTGTCCAGCCACTACAATCACTCGACTTAGGCCATAATTTGATTAATTGTGCCCAAGTTACCCCATCGATGATTAGTACCCCTCCCCCTTCATCTCAGTTTCTGTTTTTAGGAGGGATGCTGATGAGTGAGTATCAACCGGGTCCTATGTATTCACAAGGTCAGAGTTTTGGAATGTCATTGAGACCTCTTGAGCCTCCTTTAATGCCCACTACTATATCTAGCACCCGACCATCTTTACCTACCCAACAGTTCGTCCCTATGGCTCCCCATTATAGTGAGAAAGATAATGTGATTGCTGAAAATAAAGGAAAAGAGATACTAAGCAAAGAGAGTGAGGTAAATTTTGATGAATTGGGGCATTCATAAGAGTGTCGACAGTGGAAACACAAAGGAGGAAGTTCAGGGGTGCAAAGCATGGAAATTGATGCAGAAGTTGAGGCTAGGCGCATGGCGCCTCTCTCAGTGACAGTGGGCGAAATATCAAGAAAACGAGCCGGTTCAAGAGATTTATCTAGTGGATCAGCGAAGAAGAGTAGGGATGATGAATTTCGAAGGTACACATCTGAGGAATGGGAAGCAATGTTCGAAGATGCTAGGAGGATTGCTAGTCAAATAGCCTGGAGAGCTTGTTATATGCAACCCCGTATACAATCGCCAATAAGATCCAGAACAATAAGTCTTCAAGAAGAGGAGATGGCGGTTGAACGAAAGTTACCTCTTGATATTTCCACAGAAACATTATCCAAGAGTTCAAAGGAAAAGGTAACTAAACCTACACAAACCGAGGGAGATTGTGTAGCGACACAGGCTCTCGTACCTGGCATTTTCGTTTCAGATATTTTGGACAAAGGAATATCACCATCTTTGGAGATATATGGTGCTTGGGAAGTTGAGTCCTATCCCTCCTTGCCGGCTTCGAATGCTTTTAATGCCCCTTCAGTAAACTCTATTCAAAGAGAGCATTCCACAGGATCTCATCAGTCTGAGAGAGAAAGAAGTCCATACAAGGGGGATACTGCAGTAATGGGGGTAGGAATTTCTAGGACAGGACCTCCAATTGAAAATCATTCCGTCGCATCATCTTCGCTGTCGAATCCATGGGTTGTACCATCAGTCAACACAGACACAGACGATAGGATTCCCATCAGGGAGCTTTTTGGGGCTAGAAGGCGGCCAAAAGCCACACCACGAAAGAGAATGCAAAAGCACAAGACGGTCAAGATAACTTCTTATGAACCTAAGACTCGAGCAGCTAAGGCTCGTGCTGCTACGATTAGAGCGCAGTCTTCTGTACCGATACCGACTCCTGAGATAGTCAGTATCCATACCGATGCTAGTAACGAGCTCGAGACTAAATGGACGCCCTATAATCTTAGGAAGCATCGCGGATGGAACAAATCGAGGAAGCTATTGGTTGAGCTTGGCTTAAATATAGATCTTCCAGTTGTCCCGAACATGTGGCGAGAAGTGGCTCGAGAAAAGGAATGGCTACGCCTGCTGGAACCAGTGAGCTGTATGGCGGTTGATATAGTGCGGGAGTTTTATTCGTCCATTCACCCTCAGTCGGATATGGTGACGGTGCGCGGGAAAGAGGTTTGCTTTGCTACTGCATAGATTAACCATTTTTATGGACTCCCTGATTACCAGAATGCTCTTGGAAATCAGATTTTATTTGATCCATCTGACGAACATCTTAGTAAGGCAGTGGATACAATCGGGACACCTTTATCTACGTGGGATATTTCGACGATGGGGTCTCATAAGCTTGCACCTAAGGATATTTCTGCGGCTGCTGCCATTTGGTTATATGTCGTGAAGAACAGGATCATGCCAACCGAGTATGACCAGCACATTATTCGAGATCGAGTTCTATTGGTATACGCTATGATGAAGGGATTCCCGATAAACTTTGGGCGACTAATACGGAGCGTAATCCATGAATGTGCGGCTCGAAAAAATGGTAAACTTTTTTTCCCTGGTTTGATCACCTCACTCTGTCTTCATCAAGGTGTCAAGATTCCAGAAGGCCAAATTGAGAGAAAGTTTCTGATGATAGAAGAACGAAATTTGAAGCRCCTTTTGGGACATGCACTTGTTTGGGAGGCAGTTCGAGTCGGCTCACCGCATTCTGAAATTCGAGGCTTGTGGGATACTGTTCGTCGGTTGGAGCAGCAGTTGGCGGTAACTGAAGCAAAATTGGAGGCCACGGAGCAAAAGTTAGAAACAGTCACCCAGGTTACAAGACAGATGTATGACCAGTTAAAGGATGTCATAATCATTGAGGCGTGGCCGTTTGATCCATGAGACCAGGGAAGTCTTATTCTTATTCTTATGCTTGTTATATTATTTTTGAATTTAGTTGCATGTTTTGGTTTTGGCTGAATATTATTGTGAGCTTTTCTGGTTGTTTCTGAGTTTTGTTATGAAAATATGACCATTTAGTTTCTTCTTGTTTCGATCATGATCTCGTTCTTGGCCTTAGTGAAGTATATTTCTTAAACAACACATGCTGCAAATTTAATCTCATTTAGCATATTGGTGTGCCTTTTCTTATTTTTATGTCGATGATGATTCTTAAGGATTAGATGAACTTTTTTATCTTTTTGTCCTAAAAAGCCATGAGCCATTTGTGACCGAGTTCTTTTCAATAACATGATTTCTTTTCTTTTCTTCTTTTTGAAACTTAAACTTTTTCAATGTTTTATGAAGTCCTTGTCCTCTTTCATTTTGATTTTTGCATTGCCTCTTCAAAAAGCTTTTCCCAGTGAGGACACTGTCTCTCTTAAGTTTGAGGGGGACAGTCTTTTGCTTTTAGAAAGAAAATGTAAAGTTGTTTTCTTTTATTCATGAAAGAACATGCTATTATTTTGTGAAAAAGAGTCACTAGAAAGAAAATGTTTATAAAAAGAGTCTTTGCAAGAAAAAGAAAA